AAGGGGCTGGTTTCCCCCGGGGGTCCGTGCCCACGTGGGGACGGGGGTCCTGCCGTGGGGGCCCAGCCCCACGCTGCTCCACGCCACTGCACTCCTCTTTACTCCTCTTACTCCACTTTACTCCACTTCCTGCCGCTGTACTCCACTACACTGCACTCTGTTCCATGCCACTCCGTGCTCCTTTATGCCATCCCACTTTACTCCATGCTACTTCACACCACTCCATGCTCCTTTATGCCACTCCATTTTACTCCATTCCACACCACTCTACTCCACACTGCTTTGTACTTTACTCCACGTTACCCACACCGCTTCATGCGACTTCACTTCACTTCTCTTTACTTCACTCCAGTCCTCCTTAGTGTCACCAGGAAAGGTTGGACCAGCCAGGGGACTCTATTGGGAGCAAGAGCATTTCCAGGCCTGGAGCTTGGTGCCGGTGGCGGGGCTTGTTCGGTGCCATCCTTGCGGATCTCGGTGAGGACGAGCGGGCCTCGCCACGGAGGCGCCTCCGGAACCGGGCGGCCCGGAGGCCTGTTTGCTTTGCAGGAGTGGGCAACGCACCGTGTTTGCTTTGGTGTCTGCCGTGGGCAGGGCCTGGCTAAGGGAAAGGGCAGGAGCGGCGCTCGCCGGCTGTCCTGGCCTGGGCAATGGCCACTCCGGAGGTCAGCGGGACGTGGCCGGGGAGGTAGCTCCGCTCTCAGGGAAGGCTCCTGGGTTGGGGCCGCTGCGGCTGCACAAAGCGGCCCGGCGGGGACAGCGGGCAGAAAACTGGTTCATGTAGAGGAGATCCACGTGAATCTCCTACCTGCTGCAGGACCTTCCTTCCCCCTTCCCCTTCCCACCTTCTCTATCTTCCTGCTCTTTCCCCCTCTCCGGTCGCCGCTTGCTGGGTTCCCAACCCGCTGTGTTCCACGCCAGCTCCCGCGGGGCTCCCCAGACCCGGTGGGACAGACGGGGACACGCAGGGGGACCAGGTGCCCCTTCGCCGAGCCGGTGCCCGTGCCGCCTGCAGGTGATGTTACTGGGAGACTCGGGCGTGGGCAAGACCTGCCTCCTGATCCGCTTCAAGGACGGGGCCTTCCTCTCCGGGACCTTCATAGCCACCGTGGGCATAGATTTCCGGGTGAGACCGCCGCGGCTCCGAGGGCCGTTCCTGCCTCTCGGAGGCACGGATGGGACATGACGCTGGGCACGAGCCACACCAATGTGTGGATGAAACTCCAATGGTCTGAGCTGGGAGAGCCGCTCTGGTGTTACAGCTCCAAGCCGCTCTCCTGTGCATTACCTTCCACTCTCCTTTGCATTAAATTCCTTTAAATTAGGCAAAAGCGCCGCTTTAGCATGTCCTGCCCACCTGAGCAGAAAGCTCTTCCAGGCAAATCACAGCTTGTTAAGGTCATAAAATCCCATTTAAATCCCCCTGCTGCTCTCTGCGTCCTGAATTTTGGCTGCCTTGTCTCTCCGGGGATGTAGCAGTTAAACAAGATGCGTTCTAGCAGGAAGAGCTGTTTGCACCATCAGTTCCAACAGCGTTTCAAGGGGCTGGAGGACACCAAGGGGGTCAGTCCCAGGCCGTGTTTGGCCACTGTCACCCTCGATGTCCTGGGGCTCCGAGCTGCAGCTCGGGAGCTTCCCGGCCGCCCTGTCCCACTCGGTGCTCGTGGGGAGGAATCGGGAGCTCAGCACAGGGTGCCGGGCAGGTGCAGGGAGCGGAGGGAGGCACTCGCAGCCTGCTCTTCCAGTGAATTCATGTAGGTGCCTTTCTGTTTCTCATAGGAGGTAATTTCAAGAGCATCCTGAGACACCTTTTTTTTTATTTGGTTCAGCCGATTTTTTGAGCTAACTCTCAAGTTTCACATGGGCTGAATTTCTATTTCATTCCAGACAACCATGTTATTTATGCCAGTCCTCTGCCTCCAGAACAGGCCCTCCAAGTTATCTAAAAGTCTTAACACGCCCCATAAACCGCTCGTGCTTTCCTCTTTATGGGCCTTTGGAGGGAAGTCTCTGCGTCTGCAGCGGTTGCTCAACCGCTCCGATAACCGCCGGAACCTGCCGGTGCTGATGCTCTTCCGCATCCCCGGCAGCGGCAGGACCGGAGACCCAACGCGCGGGGCCCTGGCAGGATTTCCGCGTTGCTGCTGCAGGGAGATATGTGTTAGTGGCAGCTCTACACGGTGGTGGCTGCAGTTGCACTTCTTCAGAGCGCCTCATTTCAAGCCTTTAATGTGCTCCCAAACTTGTGCTGCAAGGGGACATGAGCTGGGCAAGATGTAGCCGCCCGGGGGTGTCACCGAGGCAGCTCTTAGTGTCCCGAGGCCTTAAATGGCTGAAAGTGGCCAAAATGCTTAGGGCAGCTGTTGGTGCCTTTAGTATGCCCTTGGACTGGAGGTCTCCACGGGGGCTTCTTTGCTGACCTGGTGTCTGGCACTTCATGCATTAAAGCCTGATATTGGGTGCCTTATCCTGGGGTCAGATCCTTATTGTCAGTGCTAGACAAACTGAAGCAAAAGGGAATGGAAGGGGAGGGTTTCCTCGCTTGCAGTGCTCCGAGCTGCCCCCAGCTCCTCGGGTGCCGGAGGCTTGTCCATGGGGAGCACAGAGCCTGCAGCCATACCCATTGGTATCTTCTCCAAGCAGCCAGGCTAGAAAACCAGCTGCAAAGGCCTCCAAGCACCTGGCAAAGGCACAAGGCAGATTTATGCTGCAACATCATGAAACCTCCCCCAGCAATTTTATTAGTAATTGCACGTTTGCATCTACCCAATGCAAAACCTCCCCGCGCCCCCTGGCACTGACGGGCGCCGTTTGTTCCTCTCCTGCAGAACAAAGTGGTGGCCGTGGACGGAGTGAAAGTGAAGCTGCAGGTGAGTTAGGGACCGGGGCGGCTGTTCATAGGGAAGGTGCCCAAAAGCTGCTTCCCCGGGCGCGGGTTGTGGCCTTCCCTCCCCTCGCTCCCAGTGCCCCTTCCCGCAGATCTGGGACACGGCGGGCCAGGAGCGCTTCCGCAGCGTCACCCACGCCTACTACCGGGATGCCCAAGGTAGGTGCGGGCCGGCCGCAGCGGTGATTCCCTCCTCCCGGGCCGGAGCGGTGATTCCCTCCTCCCGGACCGGGGCGGTGATTCCCTCCTCCCGGGCTGGAGCGGTCCGGACCGGAGCGGTGATTCCCTTCTCCCGGGTGATTCCCGCTCTCCCTCCCCGCGCAGCCCTGCTCCTGCTCTACGACATCACCAGCAAGCTCTCCTTCGACAACATCCGCGTGAGTACCTGGAGCCTCTGCTCCCCACGCTGCCTTTTGGGGCGCCCCGGGTGGTTTTATGTGCCAGGCACTGGGTGTCCCTTGCAGCCCTGGCCAGCCAGGAGCTTGTCCCCAAGCCGGGTGGCCCTGGCTCCCTGACTTTTGTTGCGGGATGTTGCTAATGGCCGGAGGGGCAATGCAGCTAGGGATGAGTGTGAGTGGCTCTCCCTGTGGTCCTGCAGTAGTTTCCATGCTGAGGTGCCTTTTCCCGGTTCCGCGGGTGGGAAGGCCGGGCGGGGGGCACGGCTGGCGCCGCTCCGCTCGCCCATGCAGCCCGTGTCCCCGGCAGGCCTGGCTCACGGAGATCCACGAGTACGCGCAGAAGGACGTGGTCATCATGCTGCTGGGCAATAAGGTGCGTGCGGCGCCGGGACCCTCCTGTCCCTGCCCGTCCCCATGGCTGTAGGGTGACAGGGCTTGGGCGCTGTCACCTGCGTTGGCTTGTGCTGCTGCCCAGGCTCACCAGGCCTTGATGCCCCCCGTAGGTTTTTGGGGATAGAGGTGGCAGCGTCACCAGCTGCCAGTGGGAGGCAGTGCAAAGTCGAGATGCTCCTGGGGTTCCCCCAAGTTCCTGGTTCCCAGCTGGGTACCAGATGCACCCCAGGCTCCAAGTCCTCCCGCATGGTTCCCCAATGTCCCCCTTGTTCCCAAAGCCCCCAGGTGCCAGCTGTCCCTCCAGGTTCTGGATGCTGCCAGGGATGTGGGATGTGCCCAGAGGGACATGGATGTTCCCAAGTCCCCCAGTGCCACCAGGCTGCCGGGTGTCCCCAGATGGGTGCCAGAGCTGAGTGCTGATGCTTCCCTCCTCTTCAGGCCGACGTGAGTGGTGAGAGGGCCGTCAGGACGGAGGATGGAGCATCGCTGGCCAGGGTGAGCCTATGGGGGCTGACAGGACCCTGTCCCCTGCATCCCCATGTCCCCAGCTGGTGGCTTCCTGCGGGCCCCAGTGGGGAGCAGGGTATTCCCGCATGGCACTGATGGAGCCCCCGGCCCTGCAGGAGTATGGGGTGCCCTTCCTGGAGACCAGCGCCAAGACAGGCATGAACGTGGAGCTGGCGTTTCTGGCCGTGGCCAGGTGGGTGACGGGGACCCGGCCGGCGCGGGGGCCACCACGGCCCCCTCAGGGCTGACGCGGTCCCGCCGCCCGCGCAGGGAGCTCAAGCAGCGAGCGCTGCAGCAGGAGGAGCAGCCCCCCTTCCACATCCACGACTACGTGGAGGCGC